AGAAGGGTGGTGCTGTAAGCACACAGGGAGTTGTCATTCTTTTTTTTTTTGTTTGTTTGTTTTTGTTTTTGTTTTTGGTACCAGGCATCAAACTCGGTTCCTTGAGCTTGCAAGGCAGGCCACCAAACCACTGAGCTAAATCCCTGGCTTGTATGATGTTTTTAATTTTTTCAGGAAGACACCATGAAGAGAAATAGTTAGGTCAAAAGGAACCTCTACCCGGGCGTGGTGGTGCACTCCATAATCCCAGCACTGGGGAGGCCGAGGCAGGAGGATCACTGTGAGCTCGAGACCAGCCTGGGCTACACAGTGAGTTCCAGGTCAGTCTCAACTACACAGTGAGACCCTGTCTCAAAACAAGCAAACAAACAAACAAGGAACCTCTAGTTTTAGTTCTTTGCAAAATCTCCACACTGATATCCACTGGTTGTGCCAGTCTACATTCCCATGAGCAAAAGGATTCCTTTTTCACCCCCAGCCCTTCCAGCACTTATTGGTTGATTTCTTTTTAAAAAATGTTTTCATTGTTTATTGGTAATTTTAGGTATGCAATACAGTTACCTTCATCATTGGGATTTTGTACCTTTACAAAACTTATCTTGGTTCTTATTAGTTTCTCACACCAGAGAAACTATCCAGTCTTTAAGAGTTACAGCCAAGGGCCAGGGATTTAGCTCAGTGGTTCCGCTGCCTGCCTTGCAAGCACAAGGACCCAAGTTCAATCCCTAGTACCCTCCCCCCCAAAAAAGAGTTACATCCTCAATGTGCATGCATTTAGCTATAAATGTCTCTAGTTTTTTGTTCTTTATGGCTGAGTAGTACTCCATTTTATATTTATGTAAAAAGCCCATCTTCTTTATCCAGTCTCCAGTTGATGGGCACTTGGGCTGTTTCCAAGTTTTAGTTACTATAAACTCTTCCTGTTATAAACACGGGTGAGCATATATTGCTGTGGTATGATTCTTTTATTTTTTATTTTTATTTATTTATTTATTTTTGGTACCTGGGATTGAACTCAGGTCCTTGCATTTATGAGGCAGGTGCCAGCACCACTGAGCTAAATCCCTGGCCTGATTTTTAAAATTCTTTTGGGAAGATAACCAGTAGAGGAATAGCTGGGTCAAATGGGACCTCTAATCCTAGTTGTTTGAGGTATCTCCCTATTGATTTCCACAGTGGTTGCACCAGGCAGCACTCCCACCAACAGTGGAGCAGGGTTCCTTTCTCTCTGCAACCTGGCCAGCATCTGTTATTGGTTGATTTCTTGATAGCAGCCATTCTTTCTGGAGTGAAATGGAATCTCAACATTGTTTTAATTTGCATCTCTTGAATGACCAGTGATGTTGAACATTTTTTTTTCATATTTTTTTTGTTTGTTTTTTGTTTTTTTGAGACAGGGTCTCACTATGTAGTTGAGACCGACCTGGAACTCACTGTCTAGCCCAGGCTGGTCTTGAACTCACAGTGATCCTCCTGCCTCAGCCTCCCGAGTGCTGGGATTACAGGTGTGCGCCACCACGCCCGGCTTTTTTCATATATTTATTTGCTATTTCTACTTCTTCATCTGAGAAGTGTCTTTTCATTTCATATGCCCATTTTTACACTGGGTATTTAAATTTGGGGGGTTTAATTTTTTTGAGCTCTTGATATATTCTAGATAATAGTACTTACTGAATAGCTGGTCTCTGCTAGAATTTTATAAATCTGCTGCTGTGCCCCATTCATGCTGCCAATGTCTTTATTATACTGTTGACAAAGGTGGTCATGAAACTATGGAATTTTGCCATGGACCATCCTCGGTGAAGGTTCAGGCCCTGAAGAGGAGGGGTGGAGTTGGTGCAGGAGGAATGAGATCCACCGAGGTGGAGGTGAGGTGCATGCAGTGTCAAACATTGGAGGACTTCTTCATTTATATCATACAGTAAAGGTTACAGAAGAAATTGGCACGCATTTGCAATGTCTAAATAAAAACTTTTAAGGTTATTTTACCAGTAAACTATCTATAAGCATATACCTATTTTATTATTGTTCCATCTGAAAACATTTTGTCTATTACTACAGCTATTTTTAATCAAACAATTTCTTAGTAAAAGCATAAATGAAAGCGAAATCAAAAGGACAGTCTAAGCTTAAACCCTATTTTCTAAAGTTCATGTGTCTATTTTGGTTACAATGGAAAGACTACAGTTAACCTTTGGCAGGTCACAAAGTTTTAATAAAGAACTATTGTGGTTACACAACCTCTTGGTTAAACTTTTATTTTATGTAGTCTCTAAGCAAGTATTTAGCACTTGGTTAAGCCTTTCTGTGATATCTGTTTAGCTGTCTAATTCTAGCATCTTTTGTTCTTTAGTTGCTAGACACCACAATGGTCTTGAATGTTTTATTCTTTCCATAAAGGGCAAATCTAGATATCTTACTCTCCGTCCATCTTTCCACACCATTCTATGTAAGCCCCAGTGTAGGAAAGGTGGGGGTTGCCTAGTGGCCATGAGATCACTCCACCACAATTCTTTGAGCACCTTTCTGGGATCCCTATAAGTAATTGGACGACTGGAAGAAAGCTGGGGAGCTTTTGTTGGAGTGAAATCCTCGATTACTCAAATACATATGATCATATCGAACCCATTGTAAAACATGTGGCAAAATCATTCAGGCCACTGAGGCCCTACTGGGCTAAAAGTGCTCAGTCTTGGACATC